AGTGGTAGTGGTCGTAGTAGTAGTCGTAGTCGTAGTCGTAGTGGCAGTGGTAGTGGTAGTGGTAGTAGTCGTAGTCGTAGTAGTAGTAGTAGTAGTAGCAATCGTAGTGGTAGCAGTAGTAGTAATTAGAAACGTAGTAGTAGCAATAGTAGTAGTAGTAGGAGTTGTAGTAGTAGTCGTAGTAGTCGTCGTAGTAGTAATAATAGTACTACTAGTAGTAGTAGTAGTAGTAGTAGAAGAAGTAGAAGTAGAAGTAGTAGTAGGTAGTAGTAGTAGTAGTAGTAGTAGTAGTAGTGGTAGTAGTAGTAGTAGTAGTGAATGTAGTAGAAAGAAGTGTCGTAGTAGTAGTAGTAGTAGTAGAAGTAGTAGTCGTGGTCGCCGTAGTCGTAGCAGTAGCAGTAGTAGTAGTAGCAGTAGTAGTAGAAGTAGTAGTAGTAGTAGTAGTAGTGGTAGCAGCAGCAGTAGTAGTAGTGGCCGTCGTAGTAGTAACAGCAGTAATAGAAAGGTGCAAGAGCAGGAAAGAAGGGGAGGAAGAGGAGGAAGAACAGCGACAATAGAACTGCGAGGATGAAGAGGAAGCGGGTGACCCAAGGGTGTGCATGTTGGAGTCTCCCATATGGATGAAGCGGCGAAGGTCCGAGGGGATTTCCTCCCACCTCGGCAGACTCAAAGTCCAGGGGCAGTCCAGGCTGGGACACGAACGTGCCAGAGGGCATGTTGGGCGCGAGACAAAAACACTGAAACAATATGCAATAGGCGCTGTGCCCCTGCTCCTCAATTCCCCATCCTCCTCTCATCTTTCCTCCACATCGCTCATCCCGTTTCTTCTCATCAACATACCTGCCCCATCCTAAAAATTCACACTGATTCCATCTTCTCCCCAGCAGCTTTCGCCTCATCCCCGGCACTTCCTTTCTCTCACTCCCTCCTCCCCATGGTCGTCCTCCGCCTGCTCCTCCCGCCCCTCACACCCCTCCCCCTTGCCCTCCTCTCTCTCGTTGCGTCCTCCTGTCGAAGCTTCCCCTGCTCGTCCCTCCAACGCCTCACTCCTCCCGCCTCACTCCTCCCTCCACTACTCTGCTCTCTCGAGGGAGGCTCGCGCGTCGTGCCCCCCGCGCAGAATGCGGTGTTGTTCAGGGTGCCCTGCGACTTGAAGACGAAGGCAGGCCGCCGTGAGAGGCGGATCGAAGTCGCCGAGTTGAGCCGTGGAGCAAGCACGCAAGGTCCGATCGCGCGCGGAGGTCGCACGCGCCCCATAACTGGGGAGGGCGTATGACAATCGGCAATCAACACCTGCCCTCTGAAAAACGACACTGCAAGGTCATGAAGTCGACGAGATCATCCTCGAAACTAGCTAAGTCTAATACTCGAGTGCCACGAAGTACTTCTGATAATGGCGCGGCGTGATTACGATACTCGATGCAGGTCTACGTTATCTGTCCACCTCGTTCTCGGACGTTCCCTTGATCGCTTGCCTGAAAAATAGAATTCACTGATGGTTTCCTTATTTGGGGGAGAGCAGCACACATGAAGGTGCCGTCCAGAACCCAAGAAAACAGCGGTAAATAGAACGCCCAACCATATCCTGCCGCAGCAAGGGCAGGAAGCTGCAGAAGCATCGCTGCGAGGTGACTTCGGGTGGAGGAACAAACAGCGAGAACCATAAAAACTCAGAGGTCCGCGCAGATTTCTCGGATCGGCGCTGGACTCCCCTCCCTGGCGCGCGGGCGCGCCAGGGGCGGTGCCAGAGGCGCCGCCAGGGGGCTCCAACGCCGATTCGAAGAATCCGCGCGGATCTCCGCGTTTTTCTGTCTGTGTCAGTGCTTGTTTCCCTACCAGCGTGGCAGGCCAACAGCCTGGGCAGCCCAGCTGCCAGGGACCTCTCTCCGCGCTGGCGCGCCGCACCGAAGGGGCGGCGCCTCCAGCGCGCGTTCCTTGCCCGCGACGAGGGTCGGTGCGGGGCTGACGGCGGGGGCGGGAGACCGCGCCGGCTCTTCCGCAGAGGTGCGAGGGGCGACTGTCCCTCACAAATCCACCAGCCCATCCAGCCAGTGCAGCCACCGGCCACTCTGGGCGGCCGGGGACGCCGAAAGGCTCGGCCATTCAGAGGCCGCTGTCTGACTTTCGAACTTGCCTGGGCACCACCGAAGCAGGCGAAGACCGTGCCGTTGGACAACTTCGAGGAGAAGTGGGCGCCCAGCCCCCAAAGGCCCAGCCTTCCAGAGCCACGCATGAGATCTCTGCCGAATCGCAGGGCAACGCTATGCGGGAACGATCACGCAAATCGATCGCGAGACCCGAATCCCGAGGTGATCCCTGAAAAGGCCGCGGCGAGGCTAGATGGCTAGACTGTCCCACCACAGGCGACTACAAGCACGTCCTGGAAGTGCCCACGCGAGTCCAGATGAGCCATGAAGGAGCTGCAGCGCACGGCGGCGCCCCAGTGCGAGGGGGCAGTGGTAAAACTTGACGAAACGCAGACGACGGAGGTCCGTGCCTTCGCCCTCGCTGAGCTGCTGAAGACTTGAAGAGACGCAGACGGAGGTGCGTGCCTCGACCCTCGCTAAGCTGCTGAGCACCAGGCTGGTCATCGATACACCCGTGCACACAGAATTCTCTGCCAGAAACGCTCCCAGCACTTAGGATGAGCACGCGCTTCTTGCATGCATGACTTCGACCTTGTCATCGAGGGCGTTAGGGAACGCAGTGATTACTTATATGTCTGCTGCGCGGCTAGGGGGCCATGTCCAGATGGCGATCAACGCGATGCACTGCGCATGTTTGGGGGGATACTTCTCAGCCGAATCGAACAGCCAGGAAAAGCATTAGGACACTTCGGTCCACTTTGCTCATCTAGCTGAAGGACTTGAAGGCCAAAATTCGAACGAGACCGCGTCCGAGATTAGCTGAGCCAGGTGCACCCGACATCCGCGAGGATGACGCGATTAGAAGCATGAAGTGAAACCTGAGTTGGACAGGCAACTATCAGCCCATCGGCAGTGTAACGTTCACTACAGGAAATATTCCTGGCGGCGACGGCAAAGACGTAAAGGGCATTGAGCGCCTGCCATTTGCAACGCTCAGGGTGCTAGGCAATTCGTGTGGCGATGCCAACGCGACATGGACACTTTCGTGTAAGAGACGCTGCAATACAACGACTGTCACTCGTGTTTGCTCATGCTTCCCAGCGGCAGGGCAGAAGCGGACGTGGCCGCGATCAAGTGTGGCTCACGACGTCCTTGCAACAGTGGTTTCGGAGGGTCACGATGGCAGGTGCGTCCTGTTCAGCAGTGCCCTGCTAAGACAGTGCCGAACAGCCTCCTTCTCCATCTGGTAAAGTTCCTCGTCCTCCTCCGCCTCCCCCCCCGCCTCATCCTCCTCCGCGTCCTCGTGGTCAATTGATTTGCTCCTCGTCGTAGATATGCTACGCCATCGTTTCCACCCCCCCTCTGTAGAACCCTTCCGCACCCTCCACATCCTAGTTATCCTCCTCCTGCGCCGCATCTCCCCGCACTTCAAATGCAAGTCTCTTCCTTCTCTGCCTCCGCCTCCACCCCATCCTCCTCCTCTTCCACGGCCTCGGCCTTCGACTGCTCGTCGTTGCGCCTTCTACGCTGAGTGTGTGTGTGTGCGCGCGCGTGTGTGTGTGTTTGTGTATATGTGTGGGTGCGTGTGTGTGTGTGTGTGTGTTTGTGTGTGTGTGCGTGTGTGTGTGTGTGCGTGTGTGTGTGTGTGTGTGCGTCTGCGTGCGCGCGCGCGTGTGCGTGCGCGTGTGCGTGTCGCAATTAGCACTTCCATCTGCTGCTCGCGCTTGAGGGACCTCTGCGCCGCCGGCTCAAAAAAGTGTGCATGTGTGTGTGTGTGGACAGGCACTGCTGAAGAAATTCAGCCATGGAGCAAATCCACGGACGTCAAAAGGTCGACTGGCGCGTTTATAGGAGCGGCACAATCCCAAACCAGAAGCACCAGTGCAGTCCAGTCTGCAAGGGACGAACTATATCCCATTGCTCCGAGAACCAGATCCTTCGACTCCTCCGCTCATCCCGATCCTCCTGTTCCTCCTGCCCCTCGTCCTCCTCCCTCCTCTCTCCGTATGATCCTTCTCCTCCAGCTCCTCGAACGTCGCGTCATCCTCCCCATCAGTAACATAATCCTCCTCTGGATTCCCCAGCTGCTGCTGTTTGTCCTTCTCTTCCTGCTCCTCCTTCTCTTCCTTACCCTCCTCCTCCTCCTCCTCTGCCTCCGCCTCCTCCTCACCATCAGCATCACCATCAACATCAGCAGCATCGTCGTCGTCACCCCCGTCATCAAAAGTAACATCAGCATCGTCACCGACATTAACATGAACACCAACAACAACATCAGAATCAGCATCAGCATCACCACAACCACCATTACCATTACCATCACCACTTGCATGATACTCATCATCATCATCATCATCATCATCATCATCATCATCATCATCACCAGCATCATCATCATCATCATCATCAGCATCATCATCATCATCATCATCATCAATCTCATCATCATCGTCCTCACCATCATCCTCGTCATCATCACTAATATTACAATCACCACCACCACGATTCTCATCATCACCAGCACCATCATCATCAGCAGCATTATCATTATCAACACCTCCATCATCATCCTCATCATCATCATCATCATGATGATGATGATCATCATCATCATCAGCATCATCATCATCTTCATCATCATCGTCATCATCATCGTCATCATCATCGTCGTCCTCCTCCTCCTCGTCGTCCTCGTCAGCATTCAGATCCTTCACTATCTCTTCCTCCTTCGCAATCCTCACCTTTCTCCTGCCTCTCCTCGCTCCGTAGTCTTCTCCCTCTCCTCCATCGTCCCCCTCTTCTCCCTCTCATTACCGCCTTCATCCTGTTATCACTCCTCCTCCCGCTCCTACAAGCATGTTTTGAACATGGACATTCTCTAGTCTACCCCTGGACTTGCAATGAGCCCACGACCTCAATCGATTGTTCTTCCTTCCAGTCTCCACGGTCGCGGTCTGGATGGCCTGCTCCACGTCAAATCGCTCGATGGCAAGAGCTTGCCATGCAGCAACCGCGTGCTCCATAGCACCTGAACCAAGAAAAACGAAACCAGCGCGCTTTCCCGGTGCGTGCTTGGCTAATCGGAAGAACTCGTGGGCCAGCGCAGCGTAGCTAGAGCCACCCTCGGCTAAAATGATAGCGTCGAGTCCTGCAGCCTCGTCTCCATCTGTGCCTGTGCTGATGATACACTTGGCCTCTGTGAGGTTCCCGAGCACCCTGTTCACAGCATTGGCGAGCCCGTCGCGTGGAGGAAGGATCTTGAACGTAGATATGTTGAGCTTCCTGTGCAAAGCTGCAATTTCCTGCGCAACATCGTCTACGCTGGTCGTTTCTGTAAGAAACGACATCCGCAAAGGGACTGTAATTTGCAACTCCTCCGCATCCCTGTGACCAAGCCTGTACACCGTGGGCCCGAAGCGCTCCAATGGAGTCGAGCCTGGCGGTTCCACCTTGCTAAGCTCCTCCCAACTCTTGAGGAGTGAGCCGGGCGCTGCACCACTGAGCGCGCGCGTCGACATGTAAAGGCGACGTGTGGACTTCACGGTGTGCGTGTAAATGCCCTCCCCGAAGGCCCCTGAACGGAACACGTGCGCGGCCTCAAATATGACGACGTCCAAAGGCGGTGCCTTCGCTCGCTCCTGTGCTGCTCCAATGTACCGTGCATCAACGTACCTGGACAAGATCACAATCGATCTGTCTGCAGGGAACAAAAACTCCGCCATCTGCCTGACGCCGACGGCGCCCTGCTCCGAGTCAAAGCTTACTACATTCAGATGCTCGCCCGCGTGGTCGGAGTACAGCCTCTCTGCCAAGGCGAACCACGAATCAGGGACGACGACTATGGCTCTGAGGGGAGACTGCTGTCGGGCCATGAGCCCGAGCACGACCCGCAACCCAACCGATACCTCTCCGACACCACTGGGGAGCAGCACGCAGGAGGCGTTGAGCCCGCCATCGACAAAGCCACTCACCGCGGCCTCTGCCGCATTCTCCCAAATCTCTTCCCGAGTCCTCCCCACGGACGGAGGTGGCGACCACGTGGGGCGTTCCCACCTCTTGGATGACCAGAAGACACCGACACGGGACGACTGGAGAATGAGGCCCGTGCACGTGTTGCAGAGCCCGCCAGAGTGGACAAAGCTCAGGAGGAGCAGAAGAAACTCGAAACCCAGGATGCATCAACGACGCTGCATTGCACCTTCCCGTCCCAAATCCCCTCCATTCCACTACGAGGAAAGCCACCCCTTGAAACACAAGCTCCTCACAAGCCTGCTACAGGCGATTCCAAGAGCCCCGTTTTGAAAAAAAAGATCACCCATCCAAACGTCAAAATATCATCAACTACTGACATGCATCCGCCCTCCAGCCGTGTATGTTCAAGAAAGTTCTCAAGAGAGAGCCCAACTACGAAAAGGAGCAGCTCTCCATTCTTCATAACACCTGTTTGAGCCAAAACACTGTTGGAGGCGGTGAAGGCGAATGTGCGCAACGCTGAGATGATAGTTTCAATGTGTCAGCAAACTTCCCTCCATCCGTGCAACTGCTGGAGACGTGAAAGATTAATGTGCGCGGAGCTAAAAGGAGAGCCACACTTTGAAAGCCACCCGCCCTCCGCCCCTGTGAGTGTCATGGCGGTTCAACCTTACTGCCAAACATTGCGCCGCATGCGACACGTCCATCAATCCCTACCAATACGTCTGCTGTTGCGACGCTGAGGCGGAGCTATTCGCAAGGCAGAGGGATGGAGGAATTGGAGGTTCAATGTAAGTAGTATCTTTGGGGGACGGGGGGGTGCGAACTCTTTTGGACGCCCGACATGGGTACCGAACAAAATGGGTACGATGCCCAACAACAAATGTTGTCCCAAACCAACAGCGGCCGCTGTTGGGCAGGCGGCCTCCAGTCTCGAATGGACACAGGCCGCGGCGGCGTGGACAGCGAGGCCTGGTCAACATGAACAGGAACTGCTGTTGGGCATCGTACCCATTCTTTCAGTACCCATTTCGTGCGTGCAGAACTCTGGATGCACCGAAACCCTGCCGCACACCCCCGCCGGCCGCTCCCCGATCGGCCCAGCCCCCAAATTCAGTCAGCGGGACCTCTTGACGCGCTTTGCGAACGCCGCCTCGGCCTCCTCGGCCTTGCGTCTCTTCCAGCTCTCGTAGACGTTGCCGCGGCGCTCGCGAGGGCTACCCCATGGAGCCTGGAAGGTGCCTCGCCGCACAGGGACGCTGGTGTCGGGCGCTGCGTGGAGGCGGCTGGACGGATTTGAAGCCCGCCCTTCTTGGCTGGCCGACGGACCAACGCTGCCATTCATGGGCCCGGGACTCCGTGAAGCCCAAATCCGCCGGCCCCCTTGCGGTGCCACCAGGCTGCAAGGCTGAAGATTGCAGTTCCCTGTTCCAGTTGCAGTTTCCAGCTTTCACTGTTACAATCCTGCTTTCTACTTCCTTACTGTTAATTGTTGCTTGCTGTCCGCGCGAGGGGCGGGAGCCCCAAACGGGATTTTTTACCACGCCCTGGGAAGGTTCTCGGAATTCCTCGGGGGGGCGTGGGACACCTACAAATACGTGATATTCGCGTCCCCGAGGTAATCCCTAGTAAATTACGCCATATTCGCGTCCCCGAAGCCATACAACCTTCTAAATTATACCATATTCGCGTCCCCGAAGCCATACATCCCCTGTAAATGACTTGACATTTGCGTCCCCGAGGCCATAAGCTTCGTAAATTATAATGTTTGCGTCCCCGACGCCATCAACCCTCGCAAGTTATACGATGTTCGCGCCCTCGAGGCCATAAGCCAGCGTAAATTATACAAGCTTCGCGTCCCCGAAGCCATACAATCTATAGTTGCGTCCTCGAGGCCATAACCAGAGTAAATCACAATGTTCGCGTCCCCGACGCCATACATCATCGTATGTTACATAAAATATTCGCGACCCCGGAGCCATAAACCTTCGACAATTTACATTTGTAGTTGTGAATTATTCAGCATTTTGTGAAGTCCCGACGTTGCTTCACGTCAGCGTCCAAACATCCCAACATAGCTCTGGAGGGTCCCGTTCTAAGAGAGGGGAGCCGGCGGCAGGGGGCGAAGCCCTTACGTAACATTTGATAAAAGCTCCCCGTTTCGCCCTGGCACCACCCTTGACCTCGCCAAAACGGCTAGAGAAGCCCCGGCGTAGGGGGAAGCAATGGCCACTCATCGCCTGCGTCCACCTTTCGTTCTCCCTCTTATCTTCCCTCCCCCCTCCCCCTCCTCACCTACTCCCCGTACAATTCCCGCTGGTCCCTGCCTACGTCTCGGGCTCCGGTGGTGCTCTCGCCCAGGCCACAGTGCGGCCCCCCCGGCCCCATCACCAGCCACACTTCCAGGCCAGTCTTCGGCACCCTGGACTCGTGCCTGGACTCCCTGCCTGCACCTGGACTCGTGTGGCCCCGTCTGGACCCCGTCTGCCCTGACCTGCCCGTCCAGACCGAGGCGGACCATCTGGATGCATCCGGGCCCTTTCTCCCCTCGCCTGCGCCTGGACCCCCTGAGCACACCGTTCTGCGGGGGGGCGCCCGACCGAACTCGTTGCAGCTGTTGGTCTTTCGGTCAACGGGCCTCGAGCCCGAGAGACGTCGGCTGGACCGCCGAAGGCACCCGCCAAGGCCGCAGTCGGTCGTGGCCACGGCCGCGCCCTGCCCGAAGCCGCCGCGCCTGATGAGGACGAAGGGGCCATGGCAGGGAAAGCCAAAGAGAGAGAGAGGAGGCGGGACGCGGGAGGACGAATGGAAAAGCAGCGGCGGCACCAGGGGAGGCGGTGAAGGAGGAAAAGATGCATGAAGAGCGGGAGCTGGAGCACCTGGGGGAGGGACCTGCTGACCCGAGCCCTGCTACAGGGCCATCCATATCTTACGAACCTAAGATGGTCCAGGAGGATGATCAGGAACAGGAGCAGCACCACCATCATAAGTTGTGCCAGGGACAAAACAGAAGAAACAGGAAAGGGACGTGGAGAGGACGAAGAGGAGGACCAAGACGAGGGAGGGCATGCCAAATGACTGATGCAGGAGAACAACGTAGGAGGAGGGACGTTCTAGAGGTATTTGCAAAGAATGCGGCGCCGACATACGACAAACATATTTAGCCGAGGCCGCGGTTGACTACCGCACGCTGCGACATTGCTGCTATGACTTCTCGCCTCGGCGACAACCACATCTTGCTCGTTGTAAGGACTGCACTCGTTACGCGCGATACCCATGCGTGGCGCAACTAAAACTAGGTGTTCTGCATCAGTGGCGGCATATGTTCTGTGATTGGTGTAAAAGGGAGGATCAATCACCGTGCCTCCAACACTTCTTGGAACGCCTTCACCCTCATGGTCGTCCTCAGCGTCTGAATATATCGGAAGAAGCGGAAGATCTTTCAGAGTTGCGGATCCCGAGCTCCAAGGGGGCTCCTGAAGCTAATACCGCGACTTGTTACCGGCCATGTTTTGCGCTGATTGCTCGGACCGTTCGCATATTCAACAGCTTCTTGAGCCCGCGGAATCACGTCTCGGCACAATTTCGGCGGACTTTTCGACCACACCAGGGTGCCTTGGGGCCGTTTGGGGCGGATACGGACAAAGATCTAGCCTGCAGGAGCCAGATCTCTCTCCGTACTCACTGCGCCTCGGGTGCCTCTGGAAAGGAACCCGAAACTCCAACACGCACTGGACATGACATGGATACGAATCTTGCTTGCAGTTTCCCTCCGCCTGCGGCGGAACCCAGCGCGCCGCCGAGCGCCAGCGGCACCGCCGCCGGAGGCGCGGCGCCCGCGAGCGGCGCGCCCGCGCAGCGCGCGGGGCCGGCCCAGAGGCAGGAAGCCGCCCCGCACGCGGCGGCCGCCGCGGCGAGCGCCAGGGGGCCCGCGCCCCGGCACCCCGCGGGGCCCAATTGGCGGGGCGCCATGGCCTACCGGGAGGGCGCCATTTTTTCGCATGTGCAGTGCATGAAAGCACCGAAAGTCCGTGCACATGTGCGAAACAACGCGCAAGCGCTGTTCGCTCGCCTTCGTCGTCGTCTGGCCAGTTTGGCGGGTGTTTCAGCCAGCGCGCGGGACTGCCCACGTTTGCGGGCATCTCGTAGCTGTTTCGCGTCCGCTCCTCGAGCACCAGGGGCTGCCTCCCCTTCCGCCTCCTCCTCCTCTTCCCCCTTTTCCTCCTCCTGTTCCTGCTCCTCCTCCTCCTGCTCTTGCTCTTGCTCCTGCTCCAGCTCTTGCTTCTCCTTCTCCTCCTTCGCCTCCTCCTTTCCCGCTCTTTCAAAATAGTTTCTCCCTGTCGCACCCAGAGGCAAGTTTTTAGGGCGGGCCGGGCGTTTCGCCTGAGACTTCCTCACCATGTACGACTCTGAAGCTTAAAAATGGCAGCCGCTTCGCAAATGGAGGGCGGTGGTTTTCAAAATGTGGCTCTCGCCTTAGCGCCGCGCACAGGTGTTTTAAAGATTTGTAAGAATTTCACAAATTGAGGGCGTGTCGTTGTCAAAATGTGGTTCTCGCCGTAACGCCGCGCACATCTGTTTAGAATAATGACACAGTTTAAAAGATTGACGGCGGGTCGTTTTCAAAATGTGGCTGACGCCTTGGCGCCGCACACATTCGTTTTAGAATTTGCAAGTGTTTCACGGATTGGGGGCGGGTGGTCTTCAAACTGTGGCTCTCGCCTTAGCGCCGCGCACATTCGCTGTACACACTTGCAAGAGCTTCACGTATTGAGGGCGGGTGGTTTTCAAAATGTGGTTCAAGCCTCGGCGCCGCGAACATTCGTTTTAAATAATTACAAGGGCTTCACGGATTGAGAGCGGGTGGATTTCAGCATGTTGTTCTCGAATTAGCGCCGCGCACATTCGTTTTAAACATGTGCAGGGGCTTCACGGATTGAGGGTGGGTGGTTTGCAAAAGGTGGCTCTCGCCTCCGCGCCGCGCACATTCTTACAACAATTTTGAATCAAATCACGGATCCCCATGATCAACGTACCAGAAATTCTGTGTTGGAAGAATTGAGGATTATGCAAGTGTAACCATTATGTAGACTCACGGCTTCGAAAGGCCAAACATTGCGTTCAGGAGCGATTCTGGGTCGTCAAGGCGCAGCAATCAGGTTGATCCGTGGCGTTGAAATCCCGAGAACAATTTTTTGGCATGCTTCAGGATATTCAAACGGTTATTCTCCAACGGGGCAATTCCCTAAATGGAAATGAACCGTTGTAGGTGCCTATGCAAATGGAGGTTGGAGGGAGGGTTAATCCCACCAGCCCTCTGGGCGTAGGTGGTCTAGAGCAGATCCTCTTCCACCCCTCCCTCTTCCCCCTTGGGGAGGGGTTTACCCCTCCCCCTACCCCCTCCCCTGGACCTGGACGGGGGGGGCCGCTGGTAGTTAGAGCGTCCCAGATGGCCCAAGACGGCTCCAAGAGCGCCTCAGAGAACCCAAGATGAGCTCCAAGATGGCTCAAGATAGCGCAAGATCGCTCGAGATGGCTCCTAAGATGGTTCCAAGAAGCCCAAAGACGGCCCCAAGATAACTCCAAGTGGCCAAACAGCTCCCCAAGGAGGCCCCGAAGAGGCCAAAATCGTCCCAAAACCTAAGGAAAATCAATGATTTTTGCTTTCTCGCCTTTTCGCTTCCGATGGCCATCCGAGGCCTGGAGATGGCTCCAAGATGGCCCAAGAGGGCCCCAAGAGAGCCCCAAAAGAGCCCCAAGACGGCCCCAAGAGCGCCCAAGAGCACTCCAAGAGCGTTCCAAGAGGGGTCCAAGAGGCGATTTTAGGGGCTTCCGAGGGGGGACGCTAATTCACCCCCCCCTCTTGTTTGATCGACTCCTCCAAGATGGCCCCAAGAAGCGCCCAGGAAGCCCCAAGAGGTCCCAAGATGGCCCCAAAATGGCCCCAAGAGGCCCCCAAGAGGCCCCCCGGAGGCCCCCAAGAGACCCCCAAGAGGCCCCAAGAGCCCCCCCAGATGCACCCAAGATGCTCCAAGAGGCCTCGGCGAGAATGCCTAATCATTGATTCTACACAGGTTTTAGCCACATGGAGGCCTCTTGGGGGGGGGCACGGATTAAGATGACTCCAAGAGCGTCTGGGAGAGCCCAAAATGACCTCCAAGATGGCTCAAGATATCCCAAGATGTCTCATAATGGCTTCCTCTGTGTGCTGCCCACTTCTCTGATCGAGGCAATTCCTCTGGGCATCGTTTCTGGATGGGCTGGTGGGGATTCGCGAAGCGACAACAATTCCAACATCGTTCATGACTATTGGGGCTACACTGGTCATCCTCCTCCCCCTCCTCCCCCTCCTCCTCCTCCTCCTCCTCCTCCTCCTCCTCTTCGCTTCCTTTTCCGTACGAATGACTTCTCCCGGCCGCAAATCGATGCCAGTTTCTAGGGCGGGCCAGGCGTTTCGCCTGAGACGTCCTCACCGCGTATGGCTCTGAAACTTTACAGAATGGCACAAGTTTCGCGGATTGACGGCGGGCGGTCTTCAAACTGTGGCTCTCGCTTTAGCGCCGCGCACATTCGTTACACACATCTGCAAGAGCTTCACGGATTGAGGGCGGGTGGTTTTCAAAATGTGGCTGACGCTTCGGCGCCGCGCACATTCGTTTTAGACATTTGCAAGTGTTTCACGGATTGAGGGCGGGCGGTTTTCAAAATCCGCCGACCCTGTCGGCGTGTGTGAGGGGCTTCTCCGTTCGACTCGTCGTCTCCGTCGTCTCCGCTCTCCCCCTCCCAAGGCTCTCCTCCTCAAGCGCGCTATCCAAAGCGAAATTAAACGACGTCGTACTGGAGTCGAAAGGGAAGCCCCTTCCCTTTGATCCCTTCCCCGCAGGGGGGGGGGAAGGGGGGGGGGCGGCGGGGCAGATACGACGCCCGCCGGGGCGCACTTTCCTCGAGCGGGCACGCACGGGATGCACTTCCTCCTCCTCCTCCTCCTGGTCCTCCTCCTCCTCCTCCTCCTTTTCTCCCTCCTCCTCCTCCTCCTCCTCCTCCTCCTCCTCCTCCTCCTCCTGCTCCTCTCCTCCTTTTCCTCCTCTTCCTCCTCCTTCTCCTCCTCCCGCAGAGGCGTCCCGGGAGCGGCCCCCGAGTCAAAATACCACCCCCCTAGGGCGCATTGTCTTCGAGCGGGCACGCCCGAGATGCATTTCTTCCTCTTCCGGGAGCACGTCCCAAGTCAGAATATCACACTCCCGGGGCGCACTTTCTGAGAGCGGGCACACAAAGGATGCACTTCCTCCTCCTCCTCCTCCTCCTCCTCCTCCTCGTCCTCCTCCTCCTCTCTCTCCTCCTCCTTTTCCTTTTCCTCCTCCTCCTCCTCCTCCTGCTCCTCCTGCTCCTGCTCCTGCTCCTCCTCCTCTTCCTCCTCCTCCTCCTCCTCCGCTTCCTCCCCCCGCTCCTAGCCCTTTCGATCAGGGTCGGCGGCACCGGCCGTCTGGCCTCTCCAATATGGCTCTCGCCGTGGCGCTGCGTACATGCGTTACACAAATTTGCAGGGGTTTCACGGATTGACGGCGGGTGGTTTTCAAAATGTGGTTCTCGCCTCAGCGCCGCGCACACTCGTGATATAAATGTGTAGGAGTTCCACGGATTGACAGCGGCTGGTGTTCAACATGTTGTTCTCGCCTTAGCGCCGCGCACATTCGTTTAAACATTGCACGAGCTTCACGGATTGAGGGCGGGTGGTTTTCAATACGTGGCTCTCGCATTCGCGCCGCGCACATAGTTTCACGGATCCCCATGATCAACGTACCAGGAATGGTGTGTTGGAAGGATTCAGGACTACGCAAGTGCAACCGTTATGTAGACTCACGATTTCGAAATGCCAAACACTGTTTTGTTGGCACGATTCTGGGTCGTCAAGGCGCAGCAGTCAGGCTGATCCGTGGCGTTGAAATCCCGAGAACAATGTTTTGGCATGCTTCAGGGTCTTCAAACGGTTGTCTTCCAACAAAGCAACTTCATCAATGGAAATGAACCGGTGTAGGGGCCTATGAAGAGGGACCATGGATGGAGAGTTCATTCCAACAGCGTTGGTGGTTCTTGGGTGTCCACTGGTCCTCCTCCTCTTCCTCCTCCTCCTCCTGGACACGTGGTTCTACTTCAGAAGCCTGCAGGGGGATATCGACCAATCGCTCTCTTGGTTTCGTTGTATCGAGTATGGGCCAAGGCCCGAATCGATCACGTGCGAGCTTGGGCTAACAGATTAGGCAGGCCTTTTCTAGCACTTGGAGCTGGCAAGGCAACTACTGACGTTGCCTCGCGTGCACTGCTTCACGGTGAAGCACATCCACCGCAAAGAAAAGCTCATGCGGAGGATGTTATTTGCTTGCACGCCATCGTTGACATTGAGAAGTGTTTCGATCGAGTCGTGCGGGCCGTCATCTTGCACGCTGCAGCGAAGCATGGGTTCCCACGAGCCCTCGTGGTCCTTGCCCTGCGCATGTACTCGCACGAGCGTCGATTGGCCTGGAATGGGGCCGTTTCGGAACCAGTTTATGCTTCTCGGGGAGTTCTTCCAAGGTGTAGCATGGCCATGTTTATACTGCAGCTAGCGTTACTTACGCCAATAGATTCGCTGTATGGTAGTTCGGTGCACATCGATCGCGCGCTGCACGTGTGCGCCCACGACTTGACCATACAAGTGAAAGCTAAGATGTCTGACATATACAAGCACGCGTGTTACGTCCTGAAGGGCGTGGTGGACCTCCTCGGCTCGGTCGACCTCGCCCCTGCCAAGCATAAAATGACTGTGACCTGTGCTTACTCATCAGTTGCTAAGCGTGTCTGTAGGACTCTTGGGAGTCATGGGTTTCGATCCTTATCGGCTCTGGAAGTCCTGGACATTGAGGTCACGTCTGGGAGGGCTCTTCGGTTTCAGAGATTGAATGCAAGGGTTCGCAACTGGACGTTTTCCACGGCTT